GATCTCCACCGGGAGGTACTACATCCACGTCAACTCCGACGATGAGGAGGACAACCAAAACCCCAACGTCTCGGGAGATGCCAAGCGCGCACAGGAAGAAGCCAACCACGATGCGGCGGCACAGGAGGATGATGACGAAGTGGAGGAAGTTCCGGGAGAAGAAGACGACATGGACACGCAAGGATACATGGCAGGGTTTATCGCACTCCAGATGTCCAAGATGTGGGGGATGTTCGAGGGTGGTGAGGAGAGGACGTTGAATGCCCGACTCGAGGGGAGACCGGGCTGCCCTTACCATAATGACTTCAAGAGATACCCCAACATCACCGAGCACGATCAGGAAGGTATACTTTTGCCATCAACAGCACTGAAGATTTCTCAATCGGAGAATGTTCGGACAAGAGTCTTCCGATCGGTTGAGGAGCGTGAAGAATATATTCGTATGATGGTGTGCAAATGCGAGGGACTATACACATTCTACAAGCTGTGGATTGCAGCGAGAATCCTCAATGTCACCAAGGACGAAATGAAGCTCCTGGTCAAGGACCGAGTGCACCCGGTGGGTGATATTATTTTCAGATGCTTTTCACTGGCTTTCAACTGTAAGTATATATCATTCGTGAGGGATGGCCTGAACCTTGGCAAATATGGTTACACGGTCAACGTGAGCGCCATCATCTCGGCCGTCGACCCGAACAAGTGCGACACACCTCTGCTGGATTGGTGCCTTCGAGAAAGGGCACTGGCTACCAGAGGATTACAACAAGAAGTGTGTCCGGGCACGAGAAGCCCAGAAGAACTTGGACGAGGAGTTCCGTCGACGCACTCACAGACTGTCCATTGGGGACAGGTATGCGCAGTGAAGATGCTGATTGCGGCACGATGTGGGTTAGTCCCCATCCGTTGCTTGCGTCTCATCGACACTATTGCGATGGAACGACTTTACGTCATGATATGATTTCATGCGTCCAAGTTGAATGGATGTGTATATGGTTACATATTCCGACGACTATGACATTCTGGATATTCATGGATGGAACTATTACCTCATGGATGATTTCCTTTTCATTATTTATACATTGACCATGGTATCTGGAATGGCTATGATTTGCATTGGTTGCTCACCGATATTTCTTTGCCGGAGATATGCAGATTGCTTACGAGCAGGCGCCTCTGTTGGACTCTTATGGCCAACCCATTTTCTATGGATGACGGCTGCGCGATGCGCAAATGCGGCAGCTGGGATGTTCACTGGTGGTCAAATGACGTGACAATTGTGTATTGTATACACCTGCATATGGGAGTGCGCTTCGATTGGTGGATGAATGTTTCACTTTTCATACAATCGAACCCGGCATGTTTCACAACGAATGAACGGTGTAGCGATAGCAAGTAAAAGAATGCACGACACGATTTCGTAGCTGAAGCCGTGGCCAGTGGAACGTTTTGTGGTGTTTGGACCGCATGATGAACAATGCGACCCAAATGGGGGATGTTAAAACCCTCTAGGCCCCGTGCCTAAATTGGGAAGCTGTTCTGAGGTCTGTGTTAGTGTTGCTTACCAAGTTCCATTGATCGCCATTTGGCTCAAGACACAATTGAGGTTCAAGATCTGATGTGTGGCTGCATTCATACGTGATCGGCATTGAGAGCGGAAAACACTTCGCTCGCGCTGCAATTGTCAGGACCACTGTTGTAACTATCATTCCTTCTCCCTTACAACATTTACACGGGTTCGGCTATAACGGCATCGTCCGTATACACCTTTCCACGTGGTTGGTATTACAGCTGGAGGGTTCGGTGCATAGCGTCCCACGGGACGTCGCCTTGCCGTCTCTTGACACTGTTACTGTGAAGGCGGTGTGGGCGCGAGTTGCAGATCCTGCCACCGCCAAGCGACGGCTCTCACCAACTAGCCGCTCTTTCTTGGAGTTTCGGCGCGCTTGGGCTGCTTTACCGCCCCAGATGTATCCGCTTCAGCAGCCTGTTTGCTTTACCGCTCACGCGCCGGCGAATCCTTTGGTGTTGGCGGCTTTGTGCGCCTGCCAAGTGGAGGCCTGGGTGCTGCCTTGGCTGGTCGTCATCCTTAGCCCCCTGAAAGGCAGGACGGCTGCGACGGAAGTGCAGCAGGAGATGTTCTCACACCTCGCGTTGATCAGCGTGGAGCTGGCGAACAGCTTCTGCCCAGGAAGCGCGAAACGCTCTTCGAAGCGCATGTAGAACATTTCGTTCTTCGGCTTCGGGTAGTAGACGAAGAAGCTGTAGGGTTCCCGGGTCGCCTGCTCGTAGATCCTGTGCAGCTTGTCCTTCGGCAGCAGGGCGCTCAGCTCTTCGACGACGGCGTCCAGCTCGTGCTGGCTGCGCAGCCTCCAGCAGCAGAGGAATTGCATGTTCACCCGCACAGCGGCGCTGATGAGCCTCAGCTTCTGGGAGCTCACCCAGGTGCTGATTTGCGTGTGCCGGCCTCGGATGAAGAGCGTGTCAAGGGCGCCGTGGGGCT